CAAAATGCCTAACCAGAAAAAATAATAGCAATAAAATCTCTGCTCTTCACGGTAAAAGGGGGGTAGCAGTCTCGGACACAGAGAAGGCGGAGGTTCTTGCAGAACATTATGAATCAGTGCATAGACTGACTGAGAATTATAGCAATAGAAAAATTAGTAGAAAGGTGAATGATGTGTATTGCGAGATTGCGGCGGAAGTTATCGATAATAGCGATGTGGAATTGACAAATCCTTCCGAAATTAGGAAAGCCATAATGAGAACTGGATCGAGAAAGGCACCTGGGCGAGACGGTGTTCAAAATATATTATTAAAAAACTTATCAAAGAAAGCAATAGTACAAATGACATATATTTTCAACAGCTGTCTGATGAGCTCTTACTTTCCAGACGTGTGGAAGGTAGCGAATATTTTGCCCTTCCACAAGGTCGGAAAGGATAAGCTCTTCGCCGCTAGTTACAGGCCTATTAGCCTGCTGCCAACAGTGTCGAAGGTCTTTGAAAGGATCATTTATAACAGAATTAAAAAATTTGAAATAAATAATAAAATTTTAATAAATGATCAATTTGGATTTAGAAATAACAGAAATACAGTGCAGCAACTGATGAGAGTAACAAATCATATTAGTGCAAATTTTAATAAAAACATTTCAACATTAATGGTACTATTGGACCTTGAAAAGGCCTTTGACACTGTGTGGCACAAAGGGCTAATATATAAATTAAAACAAATTAATTTACCTATGTACTTGAATAAAATTATCCTAAATTATTTAAAAAATAGAAAATTTTGCGTTACTGTAGGCGAGACTCAATCTGGCCAACAGATGGCCTCCGCGGGTGTACCCCAGGGATCCATTCTTGGACCGGTTCTCTTTTTATATTATATAAACGACATACCAAAAACTAATAAAGTAGGCCGATCATTGTTTGCAGATGATACTGCACTATATGCTTCCTCCTGGTGTCCGATAAAGGCCCATGAATACTTAGAAGTTGCCACAAAAGAGGTATTAGAATTTTTCAAAACTTGGAAATTAAAAACTAACGTAGAGAAAACTGAACTTATCTTATTTACACAAAAAAATCTTAAACAAAAACTCAAAAAGAAAAAGAAAACTATGCCGGAGTTCAGATTGCAGGACAGGGTTATTGAGAGAAGGGCCACGGTTAAATACCTTGGTGTAACATTGCATACCAAACTAAATTATAACACACACATAAGAAATACAATAATAAAAGGGTATAAGATTCGAGGAGTACTCGAGCCGCTTATCTCCAGAAAAAGTAAACTGAGTGTAAAAAATAAAGCAATTCTATACACATCTATAATAAGACCTATTTTACTTTATGCTGCTCCCTTATGGAGCAACACTTGCTACACAAACATATCTAAATTACAAACATTTCAAAATAAAATTATCAGAGAGATAACCAAGGCCCTTCCTAGAGATAGGAACCTTGACCTTCATAAATATTTGAACTTACCCGGCATTTGGGACCAAATTTATAAACTAACGAAAAACTTTTTTATGAATCAAATGGACCTTGACGAACTCCAGGAGGCAAAAATTATCGACGAAGCACTACTGCCATTCAAAACTAAATATAAAATGCCACTTCAGGCTCTTTTTAAAAAAGATTAAAAATAAAATATCTCAGCATCATAACGTCGTTATTTAGTTTTTAGAAAAAAAAAGAAAAAATGATTTTATATTTGTTATTTTTATAGATTGTTGTTATATTCGTTAGCTTTTAAGAAAAACAAACGATAGGGTTTTATATCTAATTTTTTACCTATACGAAACATAATAACTAAACAATATTTTACAATATTAAATAAATTTTACAAACATTGACACTAAATACACTAGATAGGCCGTAGTTCCTAAATGGAATAAGATACCTGAAAAAAAAACAATGTACATTACATCAACACTATGTAATCTCTCTGAAATTTATCAATAAAGAATTTTTTTTTCAAGTCAAAGTCAAGACGCGGATATCTCTTGTCTATCATCTGCGAATCTATTTAAAGACGCGGATTTCTCTCGCCTATCATTGATTTTTCAATGATAGAATTTTTTTGCAGAATGCTATTTTCTAATAGCTGCTGCATTTTTAAATTATTATAATTTATAAATAATAAATTATTTATTATTTACATGAATTATTAAAAATAAATAATTAAACAAATAAATATATTAAACAAAAATTATAAACATTAATTTTTTATTATTATTATTTAATTAAAAAAAATTTATTTAAAAAATTTTTTTTCTCTTGGTTGCCAATATTCGGCCAATATTGGACCAATATTGACAACCGATGATTGGCGATGCCGTTACATCCCAAGCATCAGCCCATATTGGTCCAATATTGGGAGTCAATCGGCGCCCAGCACGGCAACCAATATTGGACCGATATTGGACCGATTAAAGTCTATTGGCAATTTCTCACTGGGTACTTGTAATCATTTCAATCGATTTCAATACACTCGTTTTTACCGGGTAGGTACCCTTGTGGAAATTGCCAAGGTTTGCCAATATTGATTATTGGGTCTATAATGACCCTGGTTAAAAAACCGGACAGATTTCGGACTAATCCGAATTTTGTCTGAAACAGTGCGGTTTATGGTCAGGTTTTTGTCACCCGAAATTAATCCGGATAAATCCGAACTCTTTACGGTTTGTGAACAACTATAGTGAATCCGGAATTTATCCAAAACAGTGCGATTTATTGTCAGGTTTTTGTCATCCGGAATTAGTCCGGATAAATCTGAAATAAATACGGTTCGTATACAACTAATGAATCCGGAATTAGTCCGAAGCACTAAAAAATTAGTCCGGACAATTTAGTGAATGTTAATAAAAAAATAATTATACAAGTTCCACATATTAATTATTATTACTTTATAGTACATTCAACATATTTTTCAATATACCTATCGCAATTTTATTTACATTAACTTAACATTTCTAACGCTTGGGGATTCGAACCTACACCTATCTAACATTATAACGCACCGTATAATCGAATACACTAACCACTATACCGCGCTCGCATGGGAATTCAAATTCATAATAGAATTTATAAAGTGCCACGAAAAGAAATAACAAAAAATTAACACATCAGTGTTAGTTGGTAAAATTTGTAAAAATAAATTAACTGCAGAAGTAAATATTTTATTTACTATAAGTAAATACCTTGAATAAAAAGTCGAACCAATTTTGATCGTGCGTTCAACTCCTAACTTTTGGGGATTTTTTCTCTGGAATTAAGTATTATAAATTACATGTAAACAAATGTAGCTAAAAATATGAAAAAATGAACCTCAATAATAATAAATAAGAATAAATAAATTTTTTTAAATAGTTAATTAAACTGTTCTTTTTATTGGTCCTAACTAAATTCTCTAGGTGGGACAATTTCTACAGGGGTATTTTAATATACAGTAGGATCTTTCAATAGTGTAGTCGTAGGGAATATTGTGCACTGTTCAAAGCAAGCAAAAACTAAAACATTCAGGTCCGTGTCAAGAAAATTAAGGGCCCCCCACTACTAAATACCGGGCACCACTAAATCCTTTCTAAAAAAATGCAAAGCAGAAAAAGCTCGAATTGAAAAAAGTCGAACTCGAAAAGTATCGAAGCAAGAAATAAGCATAGAGAATAAAAAAGAACATAGAAAGCGCACCTCACACTCTAAATGTAAACGAAATAGATGGAGCTGTCTTGGGTTTGTCTGGTTTATCTCAAGAAAAATTTATAAATAAAAGGATTTTATTTATAAATAAAATGAAATCATAAATAAAAAAAGAAGGATATCAAATAATAAGAATATAATAATTAAAAATATAAAATAGAATTTAATTAAAAATTAAAATAGAATTAAGAATAAAGCAGCAACAAAGTCGACCGCCAAGCGGTCGACGAGGGCTCTGGTTTTATATAAAAAATTATTAAATTAAAAAACTGAACATTAGAACTTTTAAAAATTGAACAAAAATGAAGAAGGAATAGAAGCAACGAAGACGGCCGAAGGCCGTCTGAGGCGCTAGTGATACTAAATAATGAAATGAGCGACGGCACTGTATTTGACGTCATAGATTCCCTTTCCCTTTGCCTCCCGAAACCCCTATTTGCGGTCCGTAGCCGGCTTTTTATTAGAAGTACTCGTATTCACATGGCCCTCTCTGGCCATAGTCAAGGGAAACTACGGAAAACCTTAACTGAGTACAGCCGATTTATCGACGCCGAGTCTTGGATGTATAAATTTGAAGTCTCGAATATTACACAACCAAGTCCTCGACGTTCAAATCTCCCGCTCAGATTATCTCACGTGCCGAAAAAATCCCAGGCTAATGGGCGCGAACCAAGTACCCTTGGTCCTACAGCGTCCGCCGAGCGAGGCATTTATCCGACTGAGCTAATCTGTCGGTCAGGGGTACGGTATTTTAATATTTAATAATATAATATATAATATTTTAATATTAATAATAAAATAATTATAAAAAGTTCAAACAAAGTTGTGGATGAAGATTGATTGATGCGTATTCTACAATAATGTCGAATTATACTGAACAAATTATTGTTAATTGATTCGTGTTTATAGGAAATAAACTGTGAATTTCAAGATATAAATTAAACTTTACACTTTGTGGAATTTAACGGCTTGAAATAGTTAAAAATAATTTATCCTCAAATTGTGGCTTTAGAATTAAACGTAATTTAATTGATCAATTTGCGAGTTTAATGAAACTCCACGAAATTCCAACACGCATCTAGTTAATCATTTGTTCATTTTAGCGATAAATTCATTAACGTATTAATCAAGCATTCAAAATAAAAATACCATATTTTATTTTGACTGCTAAATAAATTTAAAAATAGTTTTATTATCAAAGTATTATACAAATAAGAATTTAATTTAATCAGTAATAGTCACAATTATTGTCACTTAATTAAGAAGAGAATTTATTTTTAGTATAAAAAAATTCGTACCTCGACCAATACTCCCTTGAAGTTTTGACTCATTGTCACACTTCCCAATTTAACGCAAAAATCTCCAACTTCAAATCTGGGTCCTTTGGATTCAATTTTTGTTTGCTTTTTACTTGTGTAGATGCCAGTTAATTTTAACATAAGCAAATCAAAGAGACCATCTGCTATCAGAGGGACCATTTTACTTCCAGATTCAAGAATAGCGAACACAGATGCCGGTTGTTCTGAATTATGCAAAACATGCACAGTTCTTTGATTACCTGAAACAAAAATTGCGGGCAAAAACATTATGAAGGGAATTTCAATTTAAAATAATATTTTTTTAGTTCAAATCGTGTCTTAAATGTTTACTACTGTCAATATTTTCAATGCATTCGAAAATTTATAATAAAAAATTATCAAAATTAATTATTTATTTATTTATAATTTATAATTATAAAAAAGATTTCGAGGGATAAAATGGTGATTTGATTTCTCCACTTGAGAACGTCAAGGTCATCGCTAGATGGCGTAATATCTGGTTTCCTGCACTGAGGAAAAAATGCTATCGAATCAATGACATAGGGGCCTTATTTTATTCGCTAATAAAATATTATTTATTTTTATCAAAAACATTGATTATTTTATTCATAAACATTTAAATCATAAACAAATATTTATTTGAAGGGAAAAATCACTTGTATAAAAAGGAATAAACTGCATTTTCGGTATTGATAAATAATTTTCGTTCCTGACTGAATAGTATATATATATAGTCAAGAAAAACAAATAAATGTCTAACAATAAAATGCGAGAAAATATTAAAGCATCTCATTAAAATTCTTATATAGGCAAAAAAGAAAACACGTCAACAAAATATACGATTTTTTGTGAAAAATTTGTAAACATCGTTTTCGCAGGAATCTTTCGCTGCCTTTTTAAAGGCACTGAATATATCGAAATGCAAAATTCAAATGAAATAAAAATGTTGCACGTTTGGTGCACTTGAAGCTTTTGACAGAGTCCTGCTTAGTATGTAACACCACGAATGTGCGAAGCAAACGGGGTGCATGCGGGGATGAAGTAGGGAACTAAACTCTCGAGTCTAACTTGAATCTTATATATATATATATATATATATATATATATATATATATATATATATATATATATATATATATATATATATATATTCATTCAGGAGAGAGAGAGAGAGAGAGAACTTCGATTTATGTCGATATGTGTCACGAAATGATCCTACCAACTTATTCACTTATGTCTTAAAAGTGAAAAATGTCGAGAAAAAGTTTTGCGTGTGATCAATATTTACGGAAATTTTGATAATATAATAAAAATTACTGTGTGTCAAAATGTAGACGGAAAAAAAGTATTGTTACTTTGATAATAAAACTGGAAATGTAGAACTAACAAATTTATTTTATAAACTGAAAAAAATTTATTTGATTCAAATTCAAACGATTTTTAAATAACAAAAATTACCGACTATTATAAATTAAATAGGGTAATGTCTCCTTGAGTGGACCGCCTAAGCTTTTTTCGAAAAAATTCTTTATGAAAGCAAATTAATCGGAGGTTTCTATTCCATGCTTTAGTTTAGATTCCTAGGTAAGTGTTTACACCATAATAGCTTTGTTTTATTTTTATTTGGAAAAAACAATTGACTTTAAAAAAATAGCTAATTTTTAAGGAATGAAAAAAGTGTAACCTTGAGTGGACCACTCCTAAAAAATTGTAAAAGTTATTCTAATTTCTTTAATTTATTTAATATTTCTGATATATTAAAACAAAATTTATGCTTATGCAGCTTCAGACCATGATTGTGTCGCAATGTTTACAAGTGAAACCACTTTTAATAATTTTGGCACATATTACATCAATATCACAAAAAAATTAATAAAGAACATTAAACATAGTTTCAAACCAATTTATTGTCAATTTATTTCCTTAAAAATGGTAAACTGACATTAAAAATATAAAAAACAGGCAGTCCTCTCATGGTTATAAACAGTGGTCCACTCATAGTGAAATACAACTTTTTATGGCAGCCACCACAATTTTTTTGAGTCAAAATTATCACTTAATTAAACTAAGACAATCAATTTCAATGTCCAAAGTAGTAGGAAAAAAATAAGTTACCTTTTAAAACTTAAATTTTACACTACTTTTACACTTCTGAATCACTTTACTCATTGTAAGAGCGACTTCTTTTTTGGTTTGCATTCTTAAAAATGCGTTACATCAAACAATAACGTACATGTTTATCGCGGAACTTAATTTATTACGGTTTCTAGGTGCAGTGCTGCTATTCGTTTTATTTATTTCATGTTTCCGCTGTCAGATAACTTAAAAGCTCAGGTGGTCCACTCAAAGTGGCGGTCCACTCAATGTGACATTACCCTATTTACTTGAATCAAATAATTTGTATTTCGAGTCAATTAAATGGTAGTTGCTATTCAAATACTAAAATTATATTTGTTCAAATACAATTTATTTGACTTAAATAAAATTTATTTAATTGAAGTAAATATTTATTTGGTAATAGACAAATAATCGTCTATTTAAATCAATTAATTTTTTTTCTGTGTAGTCCTTACAATTTAGATTTGTTCTCATATTATAGTAAAAAATTTCGTTTTTCTCTGTCTAAGACTGGAATATTTAGATCCTGTCAAAAGTTTATGAAAGTAATTGATTAAAAATTTATACAACCAAAAATTCAAAAATTAATAAATTCCCTAAAATTTTGAACGTTTAAGTAAACGAATTCTTATGAGAAATGTAATTAAAACTGAAATTCAAACAATTAAACTCGATTTTTTAAAGAATTTAATCAAAACTTTTGAAAATGAATGAATTCCCTTGAAGAATGTTGTTCAAATATTCTAATAGAATTGAAATCTGTCCAAAAATTTTAAATAAATTCCAAAAAATAATAAAATTTTTACGAAGAATTTTTTTATTTCTCAAAATAATTAAATTTTTACAAACAATTTTATTTTTTATTAAAAATAATTGAATTCTTGCAAAAAAATGTATTATTATTTTATTTGAGTTTTTGAAAATAATTGAATTGTTACAAAGAGTTTTGTTAAAATTTTTGAAAATAAGAAATAATAATGATTAATTTTGTGTTGTATACAATGCAATTTATAATTGTTTCAGGTAAAGCTTTTTTCCGTATGAATTAGATAAATGTTTAACTTACTAATTATAACTTATTACTTATAAATGTTTAAAGTTTAAATATTTTAGTGTTTTTAAAGAAAAAATATTCATTTAAATGTTCAAAACTTTAGAAAAATCAAAATTCAAGTTAGGGACTGACCCAAGTAGAAATGTCCGGAGTTAGGACGGAGTTAAACACCGACATGGTACTGACTCAGTACTGACCGTCGGTACTGACTTTCGGAACCCGATCAGTACTGGGAGTATACTGACTCCAAAACCGAATCAGTACTATGTCGGAGTTAGAAAAGTTCTAAAATCAGTACTGGCAGAAAACTGGCTTAACACTAAATCAGTACTGCGAAGGAGTTAAAAAAACAATCAAAATTTGTTATAATGTAATTAAACATTGAACATCGTTTGATTTATTAACAATTAAAATATTTGCAAAGATTTGTAAAAACATTATTCATCAACAATAATATCAAACATTTTATTTTTTAAAGCTGTATATATATTTTTATTTATTTATTTAACAAAAATTTTTCTTAAATAAATTTTTTTTTATTATTATTTTAATAAATAATTAGATTATAAATAATAAATAAATAATTATATTAATAATTTTTACCATATTATTATGATGTATCTATTAATTACTACATAATGACTTGATAAAATGTATATAAAGATATATGTATAATAATTTTTCTTGAAATAAATATAATAGGGTAAGTGTGGGTATTTCTGCGAATTTTTAGTGTAGGTTAACTTTGCGAAGCTCGTCTAAGTTTACGAAAAAATAAAATGCAGTTTTTTCAATTACAAATTAAAGTTCAATTATTATATTTTCCAAATCATTAAACTCAATCAAATTTCGTTACTTATTTGTATTTAAAAAAGTAAATTAAAAACTAATTGTCAACACATGTATTATTGTTGACTCGCGATTAATATTGTGTGACATTTATCAAGGAAACACCAATTATTGTGCGAGCATTATTGCAGAAAATCAGGTGTCGCATAGCGCGCTGGTTGTCAAAAAAGAGGTTATGTTTAGTATGCGTTGCGCAGTATACGTATTTAAAAATCGCAATAATACTAACATGCAGTAAAAATTCTGCTACTAATATAGTTTTAAGTATTATTAATTGAAAATCAATAATATATGGGTAAATTAATATATTTTTCAAATAATAAAGTGTACTTCTTTGATTAGTAACACTGAAACGTGTATACTATAGTGAATATTGGAAATATCAATGGTTTTTAATATGTATTCATGACTGCCATATTTGATAATTTCACAGAATTCTGTCATAATATATTTCAAATTTAAATAAATAAATAAATAATTGTCGGAATGTACATTTTTATGAGCTATTCTATCAAGTAAGATTCAAAATAATTTTTGTAATTATTTTGAAAAAATTAGGCGTGTATTTCAAAATGAAAATAATAATTTTTTAAAAATCGCAATAATTGTGTCACTCGCAGGAATACCCACACTTACCCTATGCAGTGGATTTATTATTAAAGCACTGTATATATCGGTCCCACAATTCAAAAGGAAGTTTATGCGAGATAACTCCCGAGCTTGCGTGGCTATGCGGTATGTGTATTCGACTTGCGTCCTCGAGGTCTAGGGTTCGGTCCCCCGTGCGTGCGATATTTTTCCGTCTTAGTTTTAAGTGTTTTGTGTATAATTCTTAACAGTGTTGCATAAAGTATAAGTTTAAATAATTAATAACCAGTAATAATAATAATTTAGTCATTAATTTAAATAAATAATGAAAAAATAAGAAAAATATTTTTTTAAAACTTATTTCAATAAAAGGAATTCTAATAATTAATTAATAATAATTAATACTAATACTAATTATTAGTATTCAATAAATTACTCCCCATCCCAATAGGAAATTTACAACTGGCGTAGTACTGCGCCAGCACTGGCAGCACTGGCGGCAAGGCTGAGAGCCAGCACTGGCATGGGACTGGGATGATAACGTCGTCTGGCGCTGCCGAAGTACTGTCTGTCAGTGCTGCCAGACAGCGCTGGCGCAGCACTGGACCAGTGCTGGCTGAGAATATTGCC